GATATGAATTTAGTGCCATTGTATTGCCTGTAAGGTGACTGTTACTGTATATTGTCTGTGTTCCTTTCTAGTCTCTGTTACTTTCAGCTCTCCCTTTGCTTACAGGACCCCTTTCAGTATTTCTTGTAGGGCTGGTTTGGTGTTTGGAAATTCTTTTAGTTTTTGCTTGTCCTGGAAGCTTTTTATCTCTCCTTCTATTTTCAATGACAGCCTAGCTGGATATAGTGGTATTTATTCTTGGCTGCATATTTTTCTCATTTAGTGCCCTGAATATATCATGCCAGTCCTTTCTGGCCTGCCAGGTCTCTGTGGATAGGTCTGCTGCCAATCTAATATTTCTACTGTTGCAGGTTACAGACCTCTTGTCCGAGCTGCTTTCAGGCTTTTCTCTTTGTCTCTGAGACTTGTGAGTTTTACTATTAGATGTTGGGGTGTTTACCTATTTTTATCGATTTTTGAGGGAGGTTCTCTGTGCCTCCTGGATTTTGATGCCTGTTTCCTTCCCCAAATTAGGGAAGTTCTCTGCTATAATTTGCTCCAATATACCTTCTGACCCTCTCGCTCTTTCTTCTTCTTCTGGGATCCCAATTATTCTATTGTTGTTTTGCTTTATGGTATCACTTATCTCTTGAATTCTGCCCTCACGATTCAGTAGTTGTTTATCTCTCTTTTTCTCTGCTTCTTTATTTTCCATCATTTGGTCTTCTGTATCACTAATTCTCTCTTCTGCCTTATTTATCCTAGCTGTTAGAGCCTCCATTTTTGATTGTACCTCATTAATAGTCTTTTTGTTTTCGACTTGGTTAGATTTTAGTTCTTTTATTTCTCCAGAAAGGATTTCTCTAATAACTTCTACGCTTTTTTCAAGCCCAGCTAGTATCTTTAAAATCATGATTCCGAACTCTAGGTCTGACATCATACTAATGTCCATATTGTGTAGGTCCCTGGCAGTTGGTATTACCTCTTGTTCTTTTTGTTGAGGTGATTTTTTCTGTCTTGTCATTTAGTCCAGAGGAGAATAGATGAATGAGAGAACAAAATGCTAACAGGGTAACAACGACCCCAGAAAAATATACACCAAACAAATCAGAAGAGACCTGAAACGGGGGGAAAAGAAAGGGAAAGCAAGAAAAAAGAAAAAAAAGATAAAAACAAAAAACAGAATATGATCAAGCTGGTGCATAGATCACTGCCACACACTAGATATTGGGCATATTTTGGTCTGTTAGAAGAAAGTGCCTCCCAAAATTTTAAAGAAAGAAAACTTATATATGTACAAAAATAAGGGCAAATACGATGAAGGGATGGAATATGACTGTAACGATGAAAAGTATGAAAGATTTTATAAAAGGAATTGATAAGAAGTTGGTTGAAAAAAGAAGAGGATTTAAAAAAAAAAAAAGAATGTGATCAGGCAGGAGACTAGAACAAAGCCATACACTAGAGTTTTAGGGTATATTTTGGTCTCTTAGAAAAAACTGTTTCTCAAAATTTTAAAGAGAGAATAGCTTATAAAAATATATACCAAAAATAAGGGTAACAAGTATGAATGGATAGAATATGACTCTAAAAATGAAAAATAAAAAATATTTTTTTAAAAAGGGATTGATAAGATGTTGGTTGAAAAAGGGAAAAAAATTCCAAAAAAAATTAACTTTGAAAGACTAAAGAATCATGGTAAAAAAGCCATGAATTTTATGTGCAGTATTCCCCTAGCGCTGGAGTTCTGCCGTTCTCATTGATCGGTAAACTTGGTCTTGGCTGGCCGTTCTTGCTGATCTTCTGGGGGAGGGGCCTGTTGCCGTGGTTCCCAAATGTCTTTGCCGGAGGCGGAATTGCCCCGCCCTGCCTGGTCGGTGCTAAGTAATCTGATCGGGTTTGCTCTCAGGAGCTTTTGTTCCCTGCAAGCTTTCCGTACAGCTTTGGAGGACGAGCGTGAAAATGGCGGCCTCCCGATCTCTGCCCTGGAGGAGCCGAGAACTCGGGGCCCCACTCCTCAGTTCGCCCCCCGAGAAAACTAGTCAATCACTCCCCTCTCCCCGGTCTCCGGCCGCACTCCGTGCTCACCCGGCCTGTGACGGAGCGTTTCTATCTCTGGCACCCGACCCCATGTGGAGTCTCCAAACCCAGCAGATCCCTGCGGTGTACTCCCACGCCACTACTCCTGGGGGAGGAAGGGGAGTCTCCGCGGATCTGCCGCCTGTTGGGTCCCTGCTGGAGGAGCAGTGGCCCGACTGTGCCGTGGATCACGGTTTATGGCAGCCGAGCTGAGAGCCCGCTCCTCGGCCCCGTCTCTGCAGCCGGCTTGCCTACTCAGAAACTTGGGAGCTCTGCCGCAGTCAGGTACCCCCTGTCTTTCTGTGGCCCCAAGGGTCCTGAGACCAGACTGTCCCCACGAGGGTTCCACCCCCCACTTAGCCCCTTGAGCGACGTCCCCCAACGGAGTCGACTTCTAAAATTTCCGATTTTGTGCTCCGCGGCTCTATCACTTGCCGGAAATGGCAGACAGAGGCCCCCTGCCCCACCGTCTATTTTCCCAAATACCTCCTCGGATTCACTTCTCCACACGGCCTACCTTCCAGAAAGTGGTCACTTTTCTGTTCAGAGAGTTGCTGCTATTCTTTTCTTCAATCTCCTGTTGAGTTTGTAGGTTTTCAGAATGGTTTGATCCCTATCTAGCTGAATTCCTGAGACCAGACGAAATTTAGGTCTCCTACTCCCTCCGCATCTTGCTCCTCCCCCATAAGTCATTCTTAATTTTACAGTGGAGGCAGTGGAATAGGATTGGGAACTTCAGAAGTACGTATACTCTTTTGTTGCTTAAGCTTGGTTCCCAGATTGTTACATCATTATTTTCAGATTCATATATATTATATATAGTCTTCTGAAAGTTTGAAATATTTAATAATAGTAAAATTAGTGTTAGATTACCCAACCTTAATTGGTCACTTTACTGTTTCATAGCATTGATGTTGGTAGCCTTTCCCTATTTCCAACATAAATATCTGAATTGATTTCTTCAGACTCATACATTTCTTTTGTTTTATGGTCTTGTGCTTCATAAAGTACATGCTTAAACTTAATTTCTGAAACATCATTGTTACCAATTTGCTACCTTTGGTAGGAAAGAATTTTGAATTGTTAGAAAAATCTTGCAGGAAGAATTCTTTGTTGGTTTTTAGCTGTTACTTCGTGTCAGGTGGTATAGATTTGTAAATGAAAATACTCTTCTCTCTGCATATATATGAAAAGCTTGGCTTTTCTCCCCTTTATCAATAGGCAAGTGAAAGACCAGAATAAGAAGGTAGCAAATCTGAAACACAAGGAACAGGTGGAAAAGAAGAAGAGTGCACAGATGCTTGAGGAGGCTCGACGAAGGGAGGACAATCTCAACGACAGCTCCCAACAACTACAGGTTAGAACACGTGGACAATCTGAAAGGAGAGATTTGATCCATAATTGCATGTTGTTTTCCTCTTCATCTTTATCCTCCTCTTTTTTCTCTTTCTAACCCTGCTTGCTGCCTTCCTCTGAGACCGACACTTTAGCAATAAAGGAATGGCTTTAAATAGAAAAGGCAAGTTTTATTCCACAGCTTTGTGAGGACACCTCAGCATAGGAGAAAGTTCACCTTGCTTCAAGTTGATGGCATTTAATTGGTAAGTTCAATGTCAGTTTAATGAGTTGGTTCTCTTAAGCTTTAGGGTGGTCAGTGTTACTGTTTGCCGTTTTCCTTCATTAAAGTGCATAAACCTGGTCCATGTCTGTTTAACTTCCTTCTTTGTTTTTCATTCTTCTTTTCCCTTTTCCCCTGTGTTTTCCATTTTGCCCTTTCTTTACATCCTTTTTAAGCATTCAAATTAGAGAACATATTTCACAGTCATACGGGATGTAGAAACTATACTTTTTCACTTCAGTGCAGTGATAATTGATGTGTAAACCTAATTATTCACAAATTAGGGTATAATTAGAGTCCATAATAATAGTAGTGATGTTATGAGAAGTGCCCATATGGGCCCAGTAGTTGGCCCTAGGCCTTGGTCATTCATTGTTTCTAACCTTTACAGTGATCCTGTGGGACAGATGGTTTTGTACATATTTTATAGATAAGGAAACCGACTCAGAGAAATTGAATTATTTGACTCACTGCACACAGTTTTCAGAGTGGCTCAGCCATGATTTTAACTGAGACTTTCTGGATCTCTAACCTGTCAAAATGAAGGTTTAAATTTTAGAGAAGAATATCATAAACTTTGCTAGAAACCTTTGAAACTTCTGCTAAGGCTGCTAAGCCATTGCCGCTTCATTTTTTTCTCGTTACAACTTCGAACTGGATATGAGAGAGAGTGTCACAGTTGCATTATCATGAAATCTTTACTGGAGAGATTTGGAGGAATTATTACTGTGGAAGCCATTTTTAGGCTTTATAACAAATCCGTTTCAGACATGTTTTTAATTTTTTCATTCATCTTTTATATAAATTTTATTGATTATAAAATGCATAGTCCTTATAGGAATAGTATACATTTTCTCAAATGCAGCACCTTTTGATAAAGCAGCATACCAATTTTCCCTCCCTCTTGCCAACAACTGTCAATACTGTCAATTTTCTCTTCCTCCTTTTTTTTAAATGCTAATCTGATGGATGGAAAATATTTAGGTTTTGTTTTAATTTATATTCCTCTGATTACCATTGAGGCTAAGTATTTATTCATGTCTTAAATTTTCATTTGTTAATGTAAATCAAATGTTATGTCTTCTCCATGTTGGCCTTTTCCCCAAGCATTTTTTGGTTCATTTATTCCTGTTTTGGTAACACATAAATATATATCCACAAATATTTTTAAGTTGTTCTGGGTTTTCATTTTTTACTTATATATTTTTTTAAAGATTTATTTGAGAGAGAGAGACAGAGTGCACACAGCTGGGGGAAGAGGCAGAGAGAGAGGGAGGGCAGATTCCCTGCTCAGCACGGAGCCTGATGTGAGACTTGGTCCCAGGACCCTGGTATCATGAACTGAGCCGAAGGCAGATGCTTAACCAACTGAGCCACCCAGGTGCCTCTTACCTTTACTTTTTAATTTAAATTATTTTAGGGTATTTTGTATCGTGAGGGTTTTATTTTTCTTAATTTCTAACGATTTCACTAGGTTGTTGATAGGAAATTATTTAATTGCTCACAAGTTTCAATTGGCATCTTTATATCTGAAATTATATAACAGGCTATTTCTAGGATTTCATTCAACCTCCTTTGTTGAACTAGGATCACATTGTTTGTAATTACAGAAAATATTTATTTTATAAGACAAGCCCTTATTTATGTTACCTCCTTAACTGTTTCATTTGTCTTGTGCCCTCTGTCCCTTTAATATTTTTGGTTACTAGTCTGTGTAAACTGAAAGATATCCTTTTAATCTTTTGTCAGTTTTTATGTTAACATCAAAAGAGCCTTCACATGTAATCTCCTATTTCCTCTTTGTATAATTGAAGAAGTAAGTCAGATTATTTATTTATATATTACATAGAAAACTAATTTAGAGTAGATGAATGATTTTTCCAAGATGTCTCAGTAAGTGATAGATATAAAAGTTATGACAAGTGATAGTTCATGGCCATATGCAAGATACACATGGATGAAAACTGCATAGGATTACAAATAGGATACTTTGCATCTGATCTCAGCTCTTTTACTAACTCTGCCACTTACTTCTTAACCATTTTATTACAAATGACAACCTTATTACAAATGACAACCTAGTGGTAGTCAATACCCCTAGCCCTAAGATTATGATCTCTAAATAGGATTTCCCACTAAAAGAAGCTAGAGATTCTTGGAGAAATGGCTAATCATAGAATTCATGGGAGTTGAATAGTAGAAAAGCAATTGATTTAGGTTTTGTATTAACAACAGGTCTTATTACCTGAATGGTTTAGTGTTTTAAATTTCTGAATATATATTTGGGCTCATCTGTTGATTTTTTTTTTTATGAAATAGGAAATGCAAATGGAAGGAATTATTATTATTATTATTTTAGGATTTTATTTATTCATGAGAGACAGAGAGAGAGAGAGGCAGAGGCAGAGGGAGAAGCAGGCTCCCCACAGAGCAGGGAGCCCAATGCGGGACTCGATCCCAGGACCTTGGGATCATGACCTGAGCCGAAGGCCGACCCTTAACCGACTGAGCCACCCAGGCGTCCCAGGAATTATTTTAGTATTTCCATTATAGACATAATAATTCTATGATTATAATATATTCTCTATCTTGTTAAAAAATACTTTATATTTAATGTTTTCAGTTTTGATGACTAATGAATATTTAATCTATCAGATGCCACCTGCCTTCCAAAGATTAATTCTGTTGATCATGTTAATAAATACATAGTATGTTTTTTTTTTTGTGAAGATTCGAACCTGCTTTAAAATAAGAAAGTTCATTTTCATGTTTTGTTATTCAGTGACTGATTGCCAGCTATGGGAGTTTATTGTGGCTTCTCTCTTCGTAGCAGAAGTTACAATTTGCGGCAAAGCAGTAGTACTGCTTTTTAAATTTATCTTTCTTTTTTCTGAAAGGTAAATATATTTAAAAAAATACATAATAAAACACATGTATACACAGATTGTAAATAATACATACAAAGTGATCATCTCAAGAAATGAGAAGATTACCAGCATCCCAGAAATCACATGGATATTTCTTCCTGATCATTATTTCCTCCCTTCCTCCAGAGGAAATTATTATTTTGACTTTTATTGTTCTTTGCAACCTGTGTATATATTAAATAAAAAGTATAGGTTAGTTTTGCGTAATTTTATTTTATATAAATGGAGTCATCGTATTTATTCTTTTGTGACTTCTTTTGTTCAACACCATGTGTGAGGTTTGTTTTTGATAGTTGTGTGTAACATTTGCACATTTGTTGTCCTTACTGTACTGTTTTTTTTAATCAAAATTCCATGTTTTATCTTGAAAGTGTTTTGAAAAGATAACTTCATTTCTTCCCAATTTTCCATTTTTTGAATATTCAGATGGAACTAAAAGTACTCCTTTTTGGCAGAACATGAGTTTGAAAATAAGTTGTTACTTTACTCATTGTTCTTGGCTCAACACATTAAAAATGTTCTAAAAAGATTAAACAAATTCCTTACATATGAAATGAAAATGATACCTGAAAATGGAGGGAACCTAGGAATCCTGCAAACTATAAACATGGTCATTGTTTATCACGGCCTTAGTTATGAGTGTCCTTTCTTGAGATATGACATTGCCATACCATTGTATTCTGTTTGTACCTTTGTGTTTTGGACAGTTATAGCTGATGTATATTAACTAGTCTCAAATTTTTTGGTTTTAGAAGTCCCTTTATACTCTTAAAAATTAGTAAAGTCTCAAACAAGATTTTTTAATGTGAGTTGTAATTATCATATACATATGCCGTTAACTTATTGACCTGGGTATCCATCATCTCGTTGTATCTGAAGATATATCTCCAGCAATATAAAAATACTTATATAAAAAGTCATTTGCAGTGTTGTTGGTGAGTGTGAACTATTGGACAACCTAATTGCCCATAGATAGGAGAGTGCTTGAATCTACTATGGTACATCCACACATTGGAGACTTGGCAGCTTTAAAAAAGAGAGGAAGATCTCTAATGAACTGATACGGAGTGATTTCCTGGACATCCCATTAAGTGGGGAGAAAAAAAGCACAAAAATTATCTATAGTATGCTAATCTTGGTATAAGAAAATACACACATATCTGATCTTTTTACAAAAGAAAACAGGAAGGGTAAACTAGAAAGTAAAGAGACCAGTTATCTATGGGAGTGGTGGGGAGAAGAGTGGAAAGAATGGGGAAATGGGATTGGGGCGGTAGATTTAAGGAGAACCTTCCCTTAGCATATCTCCTTAGAGAATAGCTCTGGCTCTCCAAACCATGGTAATATTTCACATACTCTAAAACCTAAGTAAACAAAACCAATCAAGATGCATTGAGGGAAACCAAAAGAGAATACAAACACTAACAAGTGAACCTGTTTTATAAAGAAATAATACAAACACCCTCAAAGGGGTGGGGAAGGGGCGGGGAACTAACCTAAGTAGCTTTGGAAAACATTTTCTTGGCTGAATGCTATTAAGCTAAAGACAAAAAGAACTGTATATAAATGTTGTAATCTAGTAATAAATGTGTTTCTCACAAAGGATAGGCTAGCCATTCTGAAAGCACTTGATATGTGTACTAGAATTCAAATAAATATTGATAATGAAGACTGAGGTTTTCATTGTTCAAGAAAGAATTTATAAATAAGTAAAGTGGGAAGGCTTAAGTGAGTCCTGTGGTGTTGGACTGGAATTAGAGATACTAGTATGAAGTCATGGTACTTAATTTATATGCAGATAGAAATACTGAT